TATTATAATTTTATTATTTTCAATTTTTATAATGATTTCCTCATTCATCTATATTTTATATTTATCAGTTTAATTATATACTACAATTGCTTAATAATTATCATAAAAAATTGGAAAAATATATTGTGTTAAACTCCGTAAGAAAATGAAAATGTTTTATTATTCTGTGTCAAGTCCTTCTATGTCAAATTATCTAGATCTTTATCACTTTGTTAATAATGAAAATAATGTGTGTGATTTATATAGCTCACTCTAGTAATATACGATCGTGCTCATTCGTGTGAAACACGAACGGTAGACCGTTGAAGCAGCGACATTGGCTTTGTGCTTTTTTCTTTTACACATCAGGTTACCTCGTGTCTCGGCCAATCGATATACTTAGTCAGCAATATCGCTTTATCTTATGGTTACATCTTTCGACATCGCGAGCAAAACACGATTTTTACAAGCTGCGATCGAATTCGTTATGAATTGTTCTAAATCCGACGATTGAAACGAATAAAGAGAAAAATGCACGATGACTCGTCATTTCATTAAATTGCATTTTTTTTTTTCTCGAGGACGATAACACGTGTGATAACGCATACATGATGCGAAATTATGCTCATATCGCAATGATACGCGGACAAGAGATGGAGTTTTGTCTGAAGCTTCAATTATTTTGCTGTGAACAAATTATATTATTTCGCCACTAAACGTGCATTATGTACAGTTCATTCATGATTCTTAAAAAATTTCAATAATTTTCTTAATAAATAAATTCAATAAATTTTATGATAAAATCTACATTTTTAGTACAAGTGCACTATCGATTATTAATATACTGTAAATGTCGTCATCTATCTTTAACATTATTACTCACATTCCTATGTGATAAGGAAAATATTTCATTGCTGATAATTCTAAAATGCTATCTCAAACAGTTTCTCGTTATCGCGTAAATATTTCTTATATAATTTCTACCAATTGTATAAATTATATTTAGCAAGTCACCATATTGTGGCTAATAGTTATGGATAATAAGTGGAATAAGTCATCCTTTTGTTCGTGCAACGGCAAATACATATTCGTTCAAACAACGAATATAATACAGATACGAATTTTGTAATATTTGCATTTGTATTTTTTCTTCCTTTTTACAATTGAGTTTTTATTTTAATCAATAAAAAATAACGTGCATAAAACAAATGCAAACGTTCCTATGGTTCGTTCAATGTATTTACTTTAAGGCGAGTTGCTACGTCACACGATTGATCACGAACAATATTATTGGCTCAAAAACACTTTGTCCCGTGGAAGAATACAATTGATGGTCATATTAGAAGCTTGAGAGCGCCTCTAATCAAATTTACCAATCGACTCCGAGAAGCTTCCAGAGCGAATAATAAAACGCGAACGGAGCTCTGAGCACAGAAACACGCAAGGTCGTTGCGCGAAGTGTCACGGAACAAAGGCAATAGATTTATTCTAGTTTATAGTAAATTTTATCTTTTGTGTTTCCTTCTTATACGTAAGATATATATATAATTACATATATATATATTTTTTTAAAATTAGATATTGAACAATGCCGCGTATAGTCTGGTTTTATCCCATTCTGACATATCACAACGGATAATGAATATTATTGTGCTATATTAAACATTTGAACGTAAATAGACGACCTATTGTTATGTATCGATAACATTTGAACTTGGAAATTGCTTTTAATCATATCTTCGACTTTTATTGAAGACTTTTGACATTTTTCATACATTTAGTAATAATTATAATAAAAATCCCCCATAAAATTTATTGTTGCATCATTTTAAATTAAAGTTGATGTAGATGTAGAATAAAATATGTAACATATTCATTTGTCGATTATACGTTTTTATATCGTACAGTAAAAAAAATTGAGTCTGTGTTATATATTAAACTGATCCGCGACAATTGATATCGTCAATAAAATTATTGTCGATTTTTCATAATTCCAGTCCAAAATTGCAATCTCGAGTACTGATTGTAATCAGAGTATTTTAAATAAGGAACATAACACCTGAAGGAAAACATTTAATAAATATTGATAATATATCAATACTCTTTCTTTCTTTCTCTCTCTATCAGATCCACGCTTTGATAAATTTAACGAATTATTAATCACAATATCCAAAACATGGGATATTTATCGTGTAAATTTTGTTACACTATAAATTTCTATAATATATTAATGTGTTTAAAAAATGCTAACGTATGAGACAATATGATAATATTAATGAGTAAGATATTCTTATTAATTGTGGTTTGACGATTGACTATTCGCATTATCTGTTGGATAGTGCGCAGCAAGAGTAGCCGAGAATATTTATAAATTGTTGCCTGATGCACAATTAAATTGCTCGTTTATAAAATGTTGCAAGTGCACACTCACAGCTTACTTACGTAAGCACCGACATTTTCCAATGTCAATAGGTGAAACACCGTTACATTTAGCACGTGTCGCGAAGTATCGGGCCAGAAATGTAAAATATGTAAGCAAAAGCAATCGGTTTCTCTCGGTTGCGAAGCGCAAAATACGCGTTATTTGTTTGGCGAGATGCCCATTTTAATGACGCCGATACGTGGCCGACAATAACGGCCCGGTAATGCGGTCCATCCACGCGTTGTACACATCTTATAAATTGCGTACGTCGGCCGCGCGGCACAGCAGTCGCTCATTTTACCTTTAACCGCGTGTGAATGTAATTGTTTTTCTAAAGATCTGGTCGCGCGACCGGTCGGATCATCGCCACGCGTCATTATTAAACACTCCCTGTCGATTTTGCTACGTCACAGCAGAAATTTCCACTAATAATGCCAAGGTAAACATTCTACGTTTCTTTATCGTGTGTCTCTATCTTCTCGAGATGATCTCAAGGAAACGACATATTATCGATGTAACGTCGGTTAAAGTGTTGATGATTTTTATTATTCTTGTAGTCGTGCATTTTGATCGTGAAATTATCAATAGAAAAATCTAATACAAAACAATGTGCCGTACGGTTTATCTAACTCTCGAAATAAGTTGATTGTATCGACTGGAGGAAAGATAAAAAAAAACGTATTCTGAACTTACATAAGTACTTCATCAACAATTTCAAGATTCTTGGCATCTATGTACTGTTTATGCTCCAAACACGTCATCCTCTCTTTAAAGAATAACGTCCCTTATCTCATGATGTCGATCAAATATTTATATATACGCTAAAAAAATAAATAACACATTTGCGTATTAATTTATTTTCTTTTTTTTCCTCTTTTTCCATAATCCTGAACTATTTTCGCACGCATTCTTACATTCTTATATACATTCTGTATGCTAATTATATTATAATGTTAAACTCTTTTTGAACTTACAATTAGATTTATGATTAACGTAAAACTTAAGATTAATGTTTCTAATAACTAAAAATGTTCCAGTGAAATGTCTAGTAAATGCATGGACGAGAGCCTAGAAGAAGGTTCTAGACTGCAACAGCATTACTGTATAACGCTGGGCGTGGGGCCTCTGTGGTGGTCCTGATGTGCCCCATGCCGCATTGTCTGTATCTACAGTCAACACAGAGAGCCGCGGCGTGGGGATCAAGCAGAGTCAGCTCTCTGTGAGCTCCCACATTGTGCAAGTACGTACTTTAAGGAGGAGGTAGAAATCACTTTTAGAAACCAGAAATAATTTTTTTATGATTGCGCGAATGCGAAATAAAGTATATATTTCCGATGGACGAATAAAGTTTTAATTTCCTTTGTCACGACACACAGGAGGATGAATTGTTGAAAGCTGTAAGAAGTAACGAACCATTGCGTCTAACATTCACTCTCCACTTAACCGAGAGTACATCTGTCGAATGGGAGACTGTAGCGTGGCGCCGTTGTCTATACATTCGTGTACCGAGCTGTCTTCTGCCCGAAGGATCAAAAGAAGGCTTTGTCTCGCTCCTAGAATACGCCGAAGAGACACTACGCTGCACCAATATCATTGTCTGCCTTCGTAAAGATAGATCAGATCGAGGTACTTGTCGCTTGCCATTCTTTGGCACAAACGTCACAGACTTTTGCGTCGACGAGAAAGATTCACCGTCTAAATCGTTCTGTTGTTATGGTCTAGCAATGCTGGTTCGTACCTTCATGTTCTTGGGCTTCACGGTCCTGCCACCAACTCATGCCTTGGTACCGCCAGGCAGTGATGCTGGTAATCTCTACATGCTCTATGCCATCGAGTAATCGGCAAAGCAGTTCGGCCTCTCTCAAATTTAACGCACAGGTATTAAGTCAAGAGAAGAGATATTGGAAATTTCTCAATTCTCTACAATTTCTTTTATATTAGTCGATTTATTTAACCGCTTTCTGTTTATTAATAATCAGTTCTCACTTTTTTATGCATTTATTATATTATTTTAGGTATAATTATTTGAATTTTGTTATATTTTATATTACAGGTACCGCACCACATATAGTTCGAGTTTGAAATTCTGAAAAGGAAACAATTGCAAAATTCTGAAAAATGATTCAATGTTTATCTTACATATTTTTAAGTTTTGCTATATGTACATCATAATTTGCATTTTATTAATTTCAAATTCGGAGATTTATAAGTTCCGACAAAAATTATTGTAGAAATTTGACAATGTGAAAAAAGAATTTACATTAGGCAATCACAGAGGACACCTTGGCGTTAAATTTAAGAGGCTTGATGAAAAAACAGAAAAAAAAACATAGTCGGGAATACGTAGAACGCGTATATAAAAGGCTTTCGATGGGTATATCGATTCATTCTCTTGAACATAATGTTAATAATTATTGTAAGAGCATATAAGCTGCTGACAAAGCTTCCCACGTGACGAAATTTGACGGAATTTGGAGTCGTATATTAACAACTGAACGCGACAACAAACTGTTAAATTTTAGAGAAAATTTATTATCGATATATCTCAATGTTAATCGTGGCAGATTGGGTATCACCACAATATTTTTCGTTAATATAAGTACATTTCCTTATCTGTAAGTATTATTGATCATGTCTAATCTAGATTTAATATCTGCATTGTTTGAGTGCCGATGAAATTCATTCAATAGTTTATTTTTCATCCTTTTTAATGATACATAAATTAGTGACACTGATATTCTTTAAAAAAAATTAATTGATATTCTTTATAATAAAAGTGTGACTGCAAGATGTAATTATTCCTTTGTAGTTCTGTGGATAGTTAGTTTCTGTTAAGTAAAAGAATTGCAAAAGTATAAAGTAAAAAAAAGTTTTGTCCACTGAATTGACTTTTCATGGGAATCTAAAATCTTTGAGATTTTTTTGAAATATGTTTAAATAAGTTGAGTACTCTCCAATCTAAGGCAGTGCTTGCTGGATAGCACATTGTAAAAAATTAAGTTTCAAATCAGAAACATTATGTTATACCGATAATTTAAAAAATATTTTTTTCAATTTACTTAAAATTGCGAAATACAGGATTATTATAAATCATATTCATCGTTATATATACATATAAGAGAGCCTTATTATCTTATTAACTTTTCTTTAATAGTATAGATTCTTAAGTATAAGTATAGTATACCTGGTAATCCCCAATCAGTTGACATTGAAGAGATTTTGCTAATAAATGCGTTCTTTAGTGTTGACTTGATAATGGACAACATAAAAAAATATAAAAATATAAAAAAAATGAAAAATATCACAAAAAGAATAAAAAAAAGTGTTAATAGCTTATTAGGAATATAGGTAAAGATAAGTACAGAATGACGGACTATATTGTATGTTAACTTCACGCAAATAATTATCGAAAATTTTGCCTCAAGTTTTTAAATTGATAAACAATTCCGTGCGTTTTATCTCGTCAGTTAGTATTATATATTCGTATCTCTGACATACACACACACATGAGAAGTAAATATGTATGCGTTTCTTATTCATACATGAAGACGTAATTACTAAATAAACATTTAATAAAACTCTGTATTGTTACTTCTTGTTCATCAAATATGTTTACTTGAAACAGTTTATTGGCTTCTGTACTGTGCAAGTGCTTTTGTTTAATGCAATAATCTTTATGTGCAAAATGTGTAATTAAAATATACTATTGATTACGTAAGTAAAATAAATATAACGTAATTAAATCGTTTAATTATGATATGTAACTAAATACACTTTATATATTATATTACTACATAAACTAAATTTTTATAATGAGGAAATATCAGTAAATGAGGAAGTATCTGTAATTTATAAAGTATACTTGCCTTTGCTTTATATATAATTCCTATGTGCGTAAAATGTATTTTTAAATTTGACATACACAATTCTCTATTAGTATCAATATACAAAACAACATACAATAATTATTGTATGTCTTTTCTAATTATATCAATATATAACAAGTACATATTTAGCTTATGTATTTTAAAACATAAGCGAAGACTCAGCATTAAACTATATTATTATGTTTTTTGCGTTTATTATTTTTCGTTGATTAACTGCTCAAATAAAAAAAAACATACGTAAATTTAAATGTCAATGTATAATATTGTACAACAATGATATGACAAAATAAGTCTGGATTAATAGAATAATTTTGAATATTCTTTTTTGATTCTATAACACAATTTATAAAAGTTTTATTCCAATTTTTTTAGATGCTATAGAATCGAAAAAAAAGATTCAATATAGCAGATTCTTGTTATCAACTAGATAAAGTCATGTTTTACATATTTTTTTTCACAGAAGAGTTTCATATCTGTTTATATACCTCAATCATCCTAATACAGCAATTATTTCATTCATATTGATAGCAATTACATTTTTGTTTTTATGTCATTTAATTGCATGAATTGGATTTCTCATATGCTTCAGCTTCCTATAATCAATTAAAAGAATGAGAATTAGATAGATAAGAACAAAAAAATATTATAGATAAAAATATGTCATACCTCAGAAGAGGTTCTCGGAACTAATCCTAAACTGTCGAGCATACCAGATGGTGCCGATTCTTCAATAGAACGTGCTAATACCTTTTTACATTTTGTCAAGTGTCTTGCTGCAATATGACACCAATTTATATTAATCTGTATATCAATAACATATTGTTATATTTATTTGTACCACTACTATAATACCTAATTGATTGCCGTCAGTCGATGTGTAACCGCACGGACACTGTAGTTTCTTTTCTAGCGGGATGTTAATTAAAGGAGATGGCACGATCAAACTGGTCTTCGGCCTTTCATTATGGATTTGTTGTTGATGTTCTTGGAATGCGCGCCAACAACATGTGACATAACGGCACTGTTGACATCGCTGTTCGCCTCTGTTCATTAAATGATTTATGTAACATAGTTTGTAAGATTATTTTGAATTTAAAATAATATGCTTACGGATAATGCTCTTCTTCATCAATATCTTCTTCGCATTCTTGGCATGCTAAATATCTGGTGGAAGTGTTCACTGTTATTGGACCAGTACTCCATTTTTGTATTTTTTCGTCCGGTGGTAACTCGGGCGGTGGACTATCTACAGTAAATCGTATCATTTCTGGTCGTTCTTTTGGGACCATTATTCCACTTTTACTAACAGAATATGGTATCGCTTCTGTAAATATTTGTTACACTATTAAATATAATAGAAACAATAATCTTTTCACACAATAAATAAGAAAAGTATATTCAAAAGAAATAAAAATGAGATATAACCAATATGAGAAATAAACACATATATAAAGTATAATTAACTTTACATTTCAGTTCTGGTTAATCAATTAAATTATTAACGTGGTCATTATATTATAGATTCCTTTATTATAGAGATCCTTATATTATAGAGATTCCTGTTTTGTTTTTAAAACATCCTACAAATTTCCAAGATATAATAATAAGCATCAATGAAATATATTGCAATTTTAATTTTACATGTATTACTAAAAAGTAGTATAGTAAAATAATAAGATCAATATATGGTGGTGTTGTGTATTCAGTTTATATACATACACGTGCGCGCGTGTGTTATTATTATATTATATATAATGTAGTGTTTTTTAATAATTCTATTAACTATATTGGAATTTCATACTATCATCAAGATTTTATAACATCTTTTTTGTTATATATCAAGTTGTTTTATAATATATAGTGTAGGTTTATAAATACATACTTACTTGAATTAAAGACATAGTCATGTAATTCTCGCTGATGTATCGTCAACGAACTTTTTTGATTGAACCAAAGACAACATTTTGAACACTTATTGCCTTTTCCTTGATCCCTTCTTACAATGTGCCTTTGCATGTGCGACAAGTAAACGTGAACATTGGACGCGCTCGGATTACCCTCGTTCACAAATTGTATTACCTTTTTGCAATAGTATTATTTGTTTAATCCATACTGATAGGCTACAAAGGAGAAATATATTCACAGTATGACAATTTTTTATTCTTACCTTGAGGCAGTAAGGGCATTGTAATCCTTCGCCTTTATCATGGACTTTATAATAATGATCTATGACATCCTTATGACTGGACGTGCGATAACCGCAACTTTCGCAACGATATGGCATCTCCGAAGGACAATGCATTAATGACAGGTGCTCGATTAACGATTTGCTTTTTCCTAAACAAGAAACATACATAGGAAAAGTAATTCTCTCAATTTCTTTCTCATGGTATATTTTATTTTTTTTAATCACTTAATTTTTTAATTTTCATAATTATGAGCAATTATAAAACGGATATGGGAAATATCGATATGTTAGCTTACCGAATTTCTCTTCACAAATAGCGCAAACTACCATAAGACCGTCAGAATGACCAAAATTGCTGTGTGTTTCTGTCACATGCGTAAGCATTTGATGCTGCGATGAAAGCGCGGTGCAACAGTACCGGCATACCGACAATTCCGATTGACCGGGTACTTGCGGGGGTACATGACTAACCATATGCTCCATCACTTCGGTATTAGATCTCATCACCGTCGTGCAGAGGAAACACTAAGTCAAAAAGATATATATATCTCAGGCGTTACAAAATATGCCGATATAGTATGACAGCTTCAAACGAACCTTGAAATATAATGGAGATTTGCGTTCCTTTAAGATCAGGTTCTTATCACCTTCCATTGTAGCATAATACAATTCTTGGAACTGAATTTGATCTTTCGATTCCTTTTCGTCTTTATCATCTTTTTCTTTATTATTCTTGAAATCGATCGCAGTTCTTTGTAGTTCGTATTCCGAACTTGTTACAGGATGAATCCGTTTTCTTCCCCGTTTCAGACTAGGTTTTATTGGAATCGTATCAGGGATTTTAATGTTCTGAGACGATGCTACATCAGTTATCGGAATTGAATCTTTTGTGGATATTACTGGTATTCCTGTATCAATTATTGATTGACTGCTTGAATAAGACCAATTATTAAATGGATTAGCAGCGATTTTTGCTAAGCGATCTAACAGATTGTCACCTGAAAAGATATATAATCTTTTTAATTTATTTGAAGATACAAGAATACTGAATACACGGACAATAAAAAATTATTTCTTTGTCAGAATAACGCAATTATTTTACTACTTACTGGAATCGAGTTTGGTTTGTTCCGCAATGTGTCGAATAATATTGTCAAACGCACGTTCCGATGTACCTCCATACATCTCTCTCCATATTAACTCATCTAAGAACTGTTGTATCATTTGTCTACTAAGCAAACTCAACGTATTTTGAAACATTCTCGGCACAATTTTTCTAAGATATTCCATAATATGGTAATTACTCATGAAGTTTCTAGATGTCTGTTCTGCAAACGCAGATTGCATGACATGATTGTAGCCCATATCATGCAGGGTACTTTTGTCAACAGTAAAGTCAGTCATTATTTTTGAATCTGTATGAACCCATTCTTTCAACGGGTGTAAAATATTATTAAATCGTCTTTTGAATGACCTATCTCCGTTCTGCATTGGTTCGCAAGCGCGCAATCGTATGTCCAATGTAGATGGATCCAGAACACCAAGAACCTCGACTTTAACCTAGGTATGAGAGCCGAATTACATAAAGAATCTCTATTAAGATGTCGAGATGTCAAGATATTTCACCTGTCGCAAATGTCCATCTTGCGATGTGGTACCCAGACTAATTACACCAATCTGTATCACTGAATTTTTACCGCCCATTTTACGACTCTTGTCCCATACTGCTGCTGTACAAATGCTACGTAGATTCGTATAAAAGTTTTTCAAATATATATTAGATACTTTCACCCAGGAGACTACATTTTGCACATTAGTCTGACATGCCCAATGATAAATCAACTTTAACAGAACTGTAGGTGTGTAAGGAGCCCCTTGAAAGAGAGAACCAGAAAAAACAGAAACAAATCTGTCAGGACAACAACTAGATATCCAAACATAACCGCCGGAATAAGGGAATGTTCCTTGATCGCTGTACATTCCTAACTTGAGTTTAGTCTTTTGATAATTTGAGCTATGTTGCAAACAATATTGTTCCGATCTTACTAAACCTTGCTGTATTAACCATTCGGCGAATTTCGTAGCAGAAAACATGAGCACACTTTTAACTTTAGCATCTAAAAAATTTCGTTAATTACCACAACTGTGTTTAATATTATATTGTTATAAAAAGTAATAAACGTAAAAAGAGTTTTTATACCTAATGCTTGTCTTTCTTTTTGTGCAATTTGCGATCCGATATCTTTGCTACGTAAATTTGGTCTTGCTACTACTACTAGGGATGGAAAAGTTCGACCGCCGGTAGTTTTGTTAAACGTAAATTCTCTGCCATCAGGCTGGTTCTTCTTGGCTTCATCAATCTGTTCACTGACTACAAAACATTCAATAATGAGTATTATTAATTAGCCAATATATTAACATTGCAATGTTTCGTTTTAACCTGTATTATAGCCAACAGATATTCCTCCTATACTAGTGTGCTCAGTAGGTTTGACAGTTGGTTGACTTACTGATTGATGCTTATTAACAGTTTTTATCCTAAGATTTGTCGTACCTTGTGGAATAGTAGCAGCTGAAGGATCAATATTACATATCAGTATTATGTATTATATTTTGTTAGTTATTACAATTTTATTTTAGTTATCCTCATGCAATAATATTAATTTAAAAAATGTAATTATATTCTTACTTGATGCAACAACATGCGTTGCTGGTCCAGTCTTTGGTCTCAAACGAGTAACTGTGGATGCAGGCTATAAGAAAATATGATACTCATGTACTTATTGATTACAGAATAGAAAATGTAGAGGATTCTTTTTTCTATTTCTATTTTCATAAAAATACCTCCTCTATAATATCAGGTTGTTGTGGTTGAAGAACTTTTGTCCTCCGTCCAGATCTGGTATACTTGTACTAAAGAAAATTAGTATGTAATTAGTGTTTTAATGAAAGTTTAGACTTCAATAAAGGAAAAAAAAACGAATATACAAATTGAATTGACAATACATTTTCTTGTTGAGACTGTGCAGCGGTTGAAACCACAGATGTAGTTGTAGTAGTTGTTCCTGAAAAAGATCTTATTTATTTTATATAATTTCAATCACAAAACTTTATATATATAGTTCTTACATAAGTAGCTTGTTACCTTGGGTTTGTGTAACAGGTCCCACAATGACTCCCATACGTGGATCAACTACTAGTTGAATGTTCCCTTGAGATCCAGTTGCATTACCAATATTTAATTTAATTGGAGTTGAATTTTTGTTTTGCTGGGTCTAAAAATAAAAAAAAATATTTCTGTATATATATATATATATATAAAGAATATATATAAATTTTTTAATGTTTCATAATGTAAAACTCAGTGAAATACTTACAACGTTTAAAATCTGAGGATTATTCTGAATTACCGTTGATGTTGCTGTTGGATTTGTAGGTCTACAAATGTTAACACATAAAATATATTAACATTTAATACTAAATTTTCATTTTTTCCTGTAATTATATACTTACAATGTATACTGATAGCCACTGACAACACCTGCTTGACATACCAATTTACCACCATGATCTTTAACTAGTTCTTCTAATATAGCTGTAACCTGACAGAAAAGATCAATACATATGTACATTATTTAAAAAAAATAAACAGATATATTTACCCTATCATAATCCTCTTTGAGTTTTGTCCTTGATATCAATTGTGCTTCACTCAGAGGCTCCTCTGTACACTCTAAATTTAATGTCATGTTGATTGGACGTCTGGTTAGAACAGAACGTGTAAACAGCCTTGGTCTTGGCATTTTACCTGTAGCTGCTGATATCAAAATATCAAATGCATAATATGCAATTAATTTATTATTAGCTTAATAGATTTGTTCCAAATGCAATGCATGTGGAATATGTAAAACAATATCATAAGACATAAGGTAGAAATTTTCTTTTGCACATATTTTATAAATAATAAATTTATAATTACATATATATATAATTAAGAAAAAACAAGAATAGACAAATAATGAAGGTTCTCTAAATAAAGAAAGCTTCTCTAATGCATTTATTGCAATTTTTTTTATTATTATTATAAGTTTTGCAGAGTTCATGGGTTAAATAGCCAACTTATATGTTGTCTACGTTACTACTGTTTGTTCCAAAAAGAATCGTTCGGCGTCGATTGAAGCAAAAAAGACTCAAACCGGTTCCCAGTTGTCGTATATCACCGAGAGCTGGTCTTACCTGATTGCAAATAAAAGTGATATCTTGAAGCATCGAGGTACACCGATGCATAAAATTAATCAAACTACACAATCCACGATAACAGATGATAACCTAATCGTACCGGAAAACCAGGCGGCAAAATTTCACCGCATATGACTTTTCGACATGCGAAACCTCGCACGGTGATCGGGCCAGATGGCAGCATTGAGCAGTAACTTTTTGACCGATCTAGATATACTCATATCATTGATCGGTCACATATGTATATTATTTTTTTCTATCGAAAAAAGTTTACATACAATCCAAAAATTATTTACAAATGAATAATTTATATTTAACAAAATCTGGTTTACATTATTAGGCAACTTTATGTAACCACTTGTTAAGTTCCTCGATATCGGCCGATGTTTGAGAATCTTTATTAAATGCACATGATTCTGCGAAATCAATGTGCGAGTCCAAATGAGAAAATTCGAAATCTTTTCCCTGTTTTCCAAGGAAGACATTGGCTGAAGATGCATCTGTGGCTTCTAACTGACTAGTCTTTGTCATTCGCAGCAGATTTATTTCCTTTTCTAACATTGCTCTTATCACCATGCATCCCTTGGCCATAGTTTGATCCTGTTTATTACATAATATAAGAATGGGGACTTTCTGTATTATAGAATCTGATAACACATTATACAAATATCTGGAAAGAAACAAAAAAATATGAACTATTAGATATTTTAAGATTTATTATTTAAAATCAATATTAAATGTCAAATCAATAGCATTTAGTTAATTTTATCAAATTTATACTTACTCAGCTACATCTCTAATCTCCTTCTGAATAGTCACTGAGTCAATCACATAAACCAGACCTCTGGCAGATGATTTGTACTTTTCAAAGTATTTGCTGCGCAGTCGCTCATCTCCAGGAATATCCACTATTCTCAGAGAACTCTAAAATAAATTCTTTTATAAGAATAATTACAATAAATATATAATCAGACTATTAATATCTCATAAAATATTGCTTAAAACTTACATTATTGATTGCAACATCTCCTATATTTTCCTTAGCAGATGTATATGTCTTGACAAATTTAGAACATAATAATCTCGCATAGATCAATGTTTTCCCACTGTCACTGAGACCTGTTAAAAGGATATTATGACCTGCACCTTTTCTTTTGCGCCAGAGTGCAAATAAAACTGTAAAAATTATATGTTAATTGAGATATTATATTTTAATCAATATATATTAAATGTAGGAAAATAATTTAAGTATAAAGACAATGAAAAGAATGTTTTTTTCTTTATTAATTCAATCAACATTATTCTTAAAACAAATTGTGTACAGCTTGTTTAAATAAAAAGAAGAAAAATAAGAATATATTTTTCATGAATTAGAAAAAGTTGTAGTAACTCTGCAGATACTTTGTAAGCGTAATAGAAATATATACAACAATCATGTATGTTTATCTTTAAATCTTTAGTGAAAAAATATATTGAATGTAATAGTGTTATGGCAACCTGATAAACATGTAATTACCTAACGTTATAATAATAGCAAACACAGCGACCAGTATACCAAGCAACTGTGATTTGCCATTTTCTTCCAATAGCGACTTTATATGTTTCTCCATAATCTCGTAATCTGCGAGTCCTACGTCTCACACTCTCTAACGACCATATGCCAATGATACAAAATACAAATAATTATGAAAGGTTATACATAATATTGCAGAGAGACGTGGATCCTTTAACAACAATTGCGACATCTGTACAAGCTTACCCAGCAGTGAAACATTTATCTCCGTAAATTGAATTTGATTAATGATAATAAAGATCCCACAATTACCCTCGGAGCTTGCAGATGTAACTTACTCACAAATAATGTGTGTATTTTGTCGATAATTGACGCAAATAAGTTGTAGTTGCGTGAGTTTCCTAAACATGCCGCTGCATGCAACTATATTATTAAACAACGCATATATTTCTAGATAAAAAAATATATAGACATGTAAACACATGCTCGAGAAAATATATAGATAATAGATAAAGAATGAAATATTAATCTGCAGGAGAAAGGTAAAATCGTTTCCATATTTGATTTATTCTTATATTTGAGAGAGAGAGAAAGAGAGAGAGAGACAGACAGAGAGAGAGAGAGAGAGAGAGAAAACTTTCCAAAGCTCTCTTTCTCTTTCTAACTTTGACGTAACACTGGATTGACACGTGCAGTCTTTATATTTATCTGTTCTACGCCTCGCGTTTATATTAATAAAGTGTCGGGAGAATCGCATAAAGTGACAGGTAATTATTGTATTGCGCTAATTAATCATGATTAGCCGTAACTTCCCGATCGGCTTGAACAATCAGAACATAATTGATGTAATCTTTTCAATGCATGTGATCTAATTCGGACATTAGCCGTCAACAGCGCCCCATGTACGTGCATGAAGTTGACGCTACGTACTTTCCAAACAAATAATTCGTTTAATGGCGTCGAGTGTGCTTTGCGTCTCGCGTTACTTATCCGTTCTACGCGTCGCGTTTATAGCAAAGTGTCGGGGGTGTCGTATAAAGTGACGGGCGATTATCGCTATTAACTGTAGTTTCTTGATCGGCTCGAGTCTACGCGAGAGAACGTTCGGAACAATGAAACGACAAGTGAAAAATAATCGCGATGTAGTCGATTGGTAAGCAAATTAGTATCTAATCTTTTCACGATGTGATTTCATGTTGTTACGGCTTTTATTCGTATCCTGGAAAATAGATAAAGATCTGCAACATTGAAAATCCATAACACAAAGGTCCTGCGCACAACATAGAAAATATTAGGAATAGGAATAAAATATTAAATATCAGGAGGAACAATTTGGAATTATTTTACTTCAAACAAGGGAACGGAATGGATTAACGCGTAATGAAATAAGAAAAATAAAAATCGGAAATAATTAATTCTTTCAGTTTCCTCTTGTTTGAAGTAAAATAATTCCAAAATACTCTTCCTGATATTTAATATTTTATTCCTATTCCTAATATTTTTTCTATTGTGTGCAGGGTCAAAGTTCTGCTTAAAATGTTATTTGATAGAAAATGATTGGATGTGATAAAAATGGATGGAATTTCTATTATTTATATCTTGATTTATATAAGTTATCATGTACTGAAATCGCACAACATAGGCTTCTCTATGTATTTTAATATTTTAATATAATCATATTTTATGATACTATTCTTCTCAATCATGTAGAATATGAATGTTTGTATAATAAGTTGATGTTTTTCAATCATAGAAAATATTGCATTATATATTTATTATTATTTTATGATAAACTGCTTATAATATTTTTTCATAACAAATCTGCTTATAAAATAATGGTTACAAAATGAGTCTGATAAAAATTGAATATTTATGTAATTTAATCATATTTCATGATACTACTCTTTTTAATCATATTGGATATGAAAGTTTGTATAATTAGTTGATAATATATAAATATATATGATACAATATACTTTTACGAAATTTCATAAGTCAGCTGTGAAATAAGGGATTCTCTCTCAAAATCACCATAAGATATGATAAATAAATTTTCTATCTTATTGTATCTATCATTTTGTATCCAACATTTTAAGCAGGAAGGACCGCCTTCACAAGAATTCGTATCTAATCTTTTTTTTCTTTTTGCAGGTCGTTTCTCGGATTGTATCATTTTTCACGCGAGGCGGATCTGCGTAAAATAATGCGCGCTTGTATCAGCGAGATCTATATTCTATATTCTATAGCGGTAATAAGAAGGAATACAGAAACAGCCTCGCGTGCTTGCATTTCCATACATGGCGAATCGAGGAAAGGGCGTTGCATCTTGGCATCTTTCGCGGCCATTTTTCTTGTCGGCTCATCGATCCGTATCCGTGAATTTATTGCTTCGACCGTGAGACGAGGACCGGACTTGATCCGCGGAGCGGACTTGATTCGCCACGCTTCGGAGAAGCCTCTTCGGGATAGCGCCTTGTCCGTCAATTCCTCTCCCCGCAGTGGAAACATTCGGCGATACACATCGATTATTTATCCGCCGTCCCTGCAAGTTCCAACGCGCGCAATTCCGTCCATCGTTCCGTTCAATGGTGAGTCAAATCTTTAATTTATTTCTCGATCTCTCTTTTGCCTTCCCTTTAGAGAGAAAATATATTGTCTACACTGTAAAAAAATATATAAAATTAGTATCTTAAATGGAATCAGCGTAATATTAATGAAAAGTAACTGTGAATAGTTATTGATAATTAAAAGCGATTAAAAGTATAGTATTGCAAATCAGAAGGGCAAATCTCATCGAAAGAATCAGTTAGTGACAATGGTTGTTCAAACAGTAATATTTTAAAATGCGTCTTATATTATAATATTATATATTATAAATTTATAGCGTAATATATTTTGTTAAAGAAATATTTAAGTTTAACCAAGAAGAGTTTATTTATTTCTTATAAATTTGTCACATTTTAAGAGTAAAAAAATTTAATATCAAAAAAGTGTATATGAAATATAAGTATAAAATTATACAATAAACAATGGAATTGTTATACATTTCTATTGTTTATTGTGTAATTTATAGTTATTATTCATGTAATTTTTTGTAATATTTTTTTTACAGTGTATGTCAAGTTGCATGGATCCTTAACGTGGCTCTCGAAATTAAATGTCAAAACTTCGGGAGCGTATGGGAGATCGATAAACTAAGAAAAAAAGTCCTTTAGAGATTTGCTCGTTTTTGCTTTGTTTTGAAGAAAATCGCAAAAAAGAAACAAAAAATTTTTACCCAAAAATTAAAAAAAACTAAAATTATTAGGTTCATTAAAAAGTACCGTGAGATAAAAGTTGTAGAGCATGGAATTAAGAAAAGAGAGTGAGTTAGAATCTTGAAGTAAAATTAGAGGATTATAAAATACGCGACAACGCAAGATTATTGTATCCTGTTTATTTTAGTTTATGTTTACATTTCTGCTGTCATTAAGGAAGTGATAATATGAATAAATAAGTGTAAATAAATAAGTAAACAAAAAAGCTTTCATTTTTTCTTTTATTTAAATAATAAATATTTAAATAAACAGGATACACACACACAATAATCTCGCGTTGCCGTGTATTTATTTAATTATTTTTTATTTAATCCTCTCATTTTATCTCATGAGGATTTTAAAATTCACTCTCTTTTCTTAATTCCATACTCTACAACTTTTATCTCATGGTATTACAATAATTTTAGTTTGTTTTAAGTTTTTTAGTAAATTTTTTTTCTTTTTTTGCGGTTTTCTTCAAAACGAAACAAAAACGAACAAATTTCTAAAGAACTGTTTTTTAAGTTTATCAATCCCTCACACGCTCTCAAGGTTTTGACATTTAATTTCGGGACACCCTGTATAACGGTTTTTCTTTTTATTTCTTATATTTGAAATATATATGCATTGCTCTTCCATTTTATGGATATGTTCTGAAATGTGATATAAGTCATTTAATACTTTGTGTGATTCCTTTTTTAAATGCGAATTCTCTGCAATTTTGTAAAAGTGACTTATGAAAAATTCCGATCGTCATGTCGGCAAGTACGCGGCAACGATCGTTTGTATTTAATAACACGTCCCAGAGAGCTGCCATAAATTCGCCAGCACGTTCTTAATTATGCTCTCGCGCCGACCCTTGTTAAGTATGTATCAATTATCGGGTGGCACGATCGAGTCTCTCTCGGCGCGGCGCGAGAAGATGATAGGTTCCGAAGATCCTTAAGAGAAGCGTGTTGCTCTCGTTACCGACTCTCGTTTATCGCAAACGAAGCGATATTCGGGGCGCGTCGTTTAGGCCCAATTCCGACGGTGTAATCGACGGTACAGCGCGCACGTTCCTAAAAATAATCGTATCGGCGCGTTGTGGCGATCGGTTCGAACATTATTTACGAGCGTTCGAATCGCGATGGTTGGCCCTTTCGTTGCACAAGCGAAAGGGGGATCAGACGATCCATCACGGATCGAAGAGCGTAATACTTTCTTCGATTGAAGTTCAGGCGAGGAGAATGTAAAAATGGAGACATGATCGAAGTCTCTCGAACTACGTAAAAACAGGAACTCGATCTCACGGTAGGGGAAGTCGTGCAAAAAAGAATAACGATGTGATAAAGTGCGGGAAATAAAAAAGACACCGATGGCGGTGGTCCAGAATGTAACCCATAAAGTAGAATACGCGAGCATTCGGTGAATCGCGCGAACGCACAGAATTTGCAATTATATATATCACTAAAAGGAACGTGCACGCAACGCGCGGGACAAAACTATTTTCTGGGCCCGTAATAATGCCGCCAAATAAGTCGCCGAGCATAAATCTTTTCGCGACTTTCTCGCGTTGAGGAGGACATCCTCTCCCCGCGGGATCCAATTGCACGATAAAAAGCCAATCGATCGCTAAAATTTCTATTCCCGATTTACGAGTTCGATATTAAAATTTATCACGGTCGATATTGTGGTCAGCTGCCTTATTTCGGATTGCAAAAAAAAAATTGCGCTTTAAGATTAAAAAGACTCAGATCGTATATAGATAGCAAAAGAACTTCGAATCGTTTAAGAACTTTAAGATTTAAGATGATGGCGTTTGGCGCTCGTAATTTCTTGCGCTCGGGCTCAATTTAATTCGGCAATTTAACGGATTCACGAGAGAGAAAGCAAACCCGCTCATTCATGGGAGCACTTGCCGCGTTAACGCTTCGCACGTAATTACAATGGTCCGGCGCTAATCTGATCGGATTAATTTTTTCTGAATTTGGCCACGTACCGTGCGCGGCGGCGATTACATCGGCGGCCGTTCGCGCTCTCACACCTATAGGATTAACGCCGTTAATGGATTCTCCGGATCGCGTAATTACGGAGTACGAGAGGCGCGAGATCTCGCACGTGTGCATCGCGGCCGTACTCGATCTCGCGCGTCTCCATCTTGAACGGGAAATAATTGCATCTGTATAGGCTATGGTATATATATATTTATTTATTTATTTCACAAAAATGGTCTCTAAATTTTGCGTAACAATATTCCATATCTCCTATAAAAATAATGTATTAATAAATAATAAAAATTATTTCGATTGTGATTTTCACTGCTTTTCGATTAACTAGAGTCGAAGTAGCAACTTTTAGACAAGTAGGGAATTTGATATAATTTTGCACTAAATGCAAATTACTGTTGCTCATATATAGAGCCTCAAAATATATTTTTTTCAAATTTGCATAAAAGAATTATCGATTCTGGATATATCAGATAATCAAATCTGTACCATATTTTTTTATGTAGAGTTATGTTTGTATTTTTTACTCGATGAACGCATCATGTATTTTAATTTTTTAATTCTACAGTAAATAGTTGCTCCGAATTTTTATACTTTATCACGAGGAGCAAAACTCCAGTCACGTTCATATACCGAGACTGATATATCGATCGTTCGTCATTCATGTAGAGAATCGCTGTCGCGTGAGATATCTGCGAGACGCACTCGACGGGCATCAAACCGGTGGCCGAAGATAGGCGATTCTTTAAAAGCGCGTCCCTCTTCTGTACCCCGTCTTTGTGAGCCGCGGCTAGAGACACGGTATAAAGAGTCAACTTTGTAACAGAACCGATCATAAAGATGGCATCCCTATATGTATCTTTCCTCCTGTATATGAGCATTAAACATAAATCTCTGTCGAATGAATAACCGTCTCCAACGGAGAAGAGGGGAGGGAAGGAGAGGGCTCGCGAGAACAAAGTCGAACCTATTAAAAGTAGCACACAAAGTAGCTCCTCAAACGCGGACCCACATCGCTGCTGCCCGTTCCGCTAATAAAACGTTACAAATTCGTCGCACAGGGGATAGTTTATTACACATGTGAAGCTTTCGTCGTGAGGAATCGCGTCCGGCGTGCCATTTATGTCCTACGAACACAATGACGGATTAAAGCATTTAGAGCCTATAAGTGCGAACTGGTTTTAAGGAGAAGACCCCCATCTCTAGCAAATATTTAAAATTAAAGAAGTTAGGGACACACATGCTTTTTCTGCATATTTAAAATATCACTGCGCGGATTTTTCTTTTATTTCTGTGTCCGGCTTTTGATATGCTCCACGTGTTCTTGTATGTTTCGCGCCGCGTTAACGATCGCCGGCCGCTGAATTTATTTAAATCTGTGGAAAAAAGTATTGCCCCGCGTTTTGAGCAGTCGTGCAGAATTTTATACGCGAGATTTTATTGCACTTGGTTTCAGAATTATTTACACATGACAACGTGATTACATCATAAAAGTGCCTTTTATACGATTTGAATGGCATATCCGGTATACTATCATACATGTGTATGCGCGTCTTTTCTCTCTTATGTTTAATGCGAATGTACGATCATCTTCTCGTCTCGGCACTAACGCGCGGAATAATAAAACGAAGAGAAAAGTTGCAAATTGTGTTTTACAATCTCCTTGGACGTCACAGTTACGAGGTGCTTTATTCGGTTATAAATTCTATTAGCGATCCTTCCGAACGACACTTTGAATCGTTGCGTCTATATTGTTGGCATTTGAATGTGTCGCATCCACTGTCACATTTGCAATTTTTTTATTTTCCCCTCATGATTTCTTTACACCGTTCTCCTCGTCATATGATTTCACATGCATCAAAAATTAAGAAAGAATTTCTAATTATAGCTATAATTAAATTAATGATTCACATATATATTTACGATATAATAAATAATATATAATAATAAATAGAACAAATGTTTAATTTGTATTTGAATCACTCTAGTTTCTTTATCTTTACTGTAACATACGTCGGAAACTACGCGCGACTGTGTTCGCGTAAAAAAGACCTTGATGAATGGTTGCATCACGATGTTTGAAGAATAGGTCTTAACCTTTTCACGAGCATTGCCCGATTTTTGGACGTTTCACGAGGAATCGGTGCATCGTGCGAAGGAAAAAAATCGTCCGTTTTCAATCGAACGGATGGGGTAAGAGCGCGGACAAAGGCGGCATTGTGCGTCAAATTTTTATAAGGATTCTCGAGATTCTCTATTGTGCGAAAATTGGGGGCTTACGCGTCGCGGGAATTGCGGAGGTGG